GTTGACACTGAAGAAGGAGAAGGACTGACAGGAAAGAGCAAATGAAAGTCCTGGCTGTGGAGGGTTCCAGAAGCCTATCTACATTTCAGTTTGTACTAAGGGTTAAGGAGCACTGAGTCCCACACCTACAGAAGAGCTCTGTCAGTGGCTAAAGTTAAGGATTGAGGAGCCCTGGTACTTGGACTGCCCTGAAGCTGTGGTGCAAGTTGGAGCCAGGAGCTCCAATCTGCACCCTTTGGGGCCACAAGATCTGTAAGACTGGCAGGGCTGAGGGGCCCTGTTTCTATACCAGCCCACATATGGTCATGGATGGCAGTTGTCAAGTTCAGTGGGGAAGAAAATGTGACAAATCCAGGACTTGAAGAACTCCCCATCTACACACCTTGATTTTTGTGTGGGTGAATCAAATGACATCCAGCCAGCCTATTGGCAGCTCTGCCACTGTTTGGAAAAAACCTCCATAGATCGGGAAAATCGACCATGACAAAATCGGTGTGCAAACTCTGAACCCAATTACAGCAGAGGATTTCCTTACATGTGATATAAGCTTAAGTATTGAAAGGTTTACAACTGTGTTCTTTACAGTGTATGGTGCCCTGGCGAAAAGAGTGCTAAGGTGTGTTCTTTTGTGGAAATATAAACTAGAGCACTAAGCATACCCGATGTTAATAAAGAGACTTAAGAACTAAGAAGAGATTATCAACCCGTGACTGATGTCACACTAACTGCCCAGACTTCCCTAACTTTTCCAAGTCAGTCCATTTTGTATTTTTTAAAATAATCAAGTGTTGTTATACTATGAGGAGAAAAAATCCTAAATAAGCAAATAGTCCATCTCATCCTTATTATATATTTTAAGACATGTTGAAGTGTGGCGTTAAATATGGTGCATGAGATTAATCCCAGATTTTGTGAGGCAGAGGTGGGCATCTCTGTGAGTTCAAGAATTGCATGGACTACAAAATAATTTCCAGGATAGCTGAGGATATTCCTCATAAAATCACTGCCTATAGAAACAAAAGTAATTATTAATAAGACATATTTGTAGTGGGTACCTGTTCTACCTATGACCTTGAGGTACCAGCCCATTGTGCAAGGCCTCAGGCAGGTTGAGGACCTGAGGGGTATGAATGCCTTGCTCTCCTCCTCCCTCTGGGCTTTATGGTGTGGACTGACTTAGGCAGCAGGAGCAGCATGGGTCAGGATATCAACCTTTCAGGAATCTGAGATTATTTTGCCTTTTTCTGTGTACTGAGTTATTTCTCCAATTTATATCCTAATACATTCCCTGTACCCCTTAAGCAGACTCCCTTGGATTTCTGGCTGTATCTGGTGCTCCCTACGTGTGGGTGGTTCATCATTACAGCCCCAGTGGCTCTTGAAGAGCTCACCTGTCCATGTGGGCTTGGGAGAATAGTGACGGGCTTAAAGACACAGGCACAGGGGGACAGGGGCCACAGTGTATGTCTGGGGGTGCAGGAAATTCTGGCCTCTGCAATTAGCCATCCAGGGATATTACACCAGGGTGCCAATTGTAGCCACAAGTTTTCCTGTATCCTGCCCGGTCCTGCAGACTCTCAGTCCCAAGTAAACACACAGAGGCTTGTATTAATTACAAACTGTATGGCGTATGGCTCAGGCTTCTTGCCAGCTAGTTCTTAGAACTTAACTCAACCCATTCCTATTAATCTGTGTTTGGCCACTTGGCTTCATGGCATTATCTGTTCTCTCACATCTTGCTTCTCCTGGAGGCAGCTCCCAGCATTTGCTGCAACTACACCCTTCTTCATCTCCATGTTCAGTTTGAATGTACTACCTAAACTTATTCTGCCTCACCATTGGCCAAACAGCTTTATTTATCAATCATGAGACCAATATGTATGCACAGCATACAGAACCATATCTGACAGCACATATTGATTCCAGAAGTAACAGCGAATCCTTTTGGGTTTCTTGGGCTTATTAATAACATAATTTTTTAAAAAGAGTCAATGTATTTTTGATGACAATAAAAAGTTCAGATTTGTTTATAATTTTTATGTGTATGGGTATTTTGCCTGCATGCATACATGTACAGACATTGTGTTCTTGTGCTGGAAGAGGTCAGTAGAGCATGTGAGATCCCCAGGAAATAAAATTACACCTGGAATGGGTACTGAGATCTGACCAAGGGTCTTCAACAAGAACAAGGGCTCTTAACTACAGAGACATCTCTCTAACATCTGGATGACAATGGCATTAAAGTTTAAAAGAAAACCCCAAATGTCTTTAGAGCATTTGTTCCTGCAGAAGACCCAGGTTTGGTTCCCATCATCCACCAGGAGGCTCCCAACCATGCACAACTCCAATTCCAGGGGATGTGATGCCATTTCTGACCTCTTTGCATACCAGGCACCCAAGTGGTACACAGTCATTTATGCAGAGAAAACTCTCACTCACATAGAATAAAATAAATAAACCTAGGGAGGAAAATAGAGGAAGAAAAACCTGAAAAGCTCCAGGGCAGGTAATTGCAAATCTTGAGCAGAAAAAGAAGAAAGCTGTCCTATCTGAATTAAGTCTGCATTGCTGACACACAGGGTTCATAAGCAGTCACAGGGTAGGGAAGGAGCTTTAAAGAAAGCTCACAGTGTCAGGGAAGAAAAAGAGTTAGTGAAAGCACACTTAGAAAAGAGAGGAAAGTGGGCAAATCCTAGAGGCTGCAAGACTGCAGCTCTGTGGGAGCCTGCCAGAGGAGCAGACACCCCTTATGGAAGGGGAGGCACATTATCTCATGAAGGGATCAGTATGGCCCCTTTTGTGTTTTTGGAATGGCTTAGGGCAAACAATCTCATTTTTCAGAAGGGGTCCTTTGGCCTCCGGGTTGTCTGACCCCAGTGGATTAACACTTACCAGGGAGAGAGTGGCCTGTCTCCATTCAGAAGGCCATTTCTGTCTTTTGGAAGAGAGGCAACATAGTCTATTAATGAGGTTTCAAGACTACTGTAAAGGAACCTCCCCAAGGTAGGTGAAGGGAGAGAGAGAGGCATCCCACATAACAACAAGGACTATTTGTTTACAACTTGTTAAAGCAATGGAGTCACACAACATCATTTGTTTGTCAGAGATGCAAGTGAGAGAGCTTTGTGATAGAGATCATTTTAAAGCACCTAAGGCTTCAGGCATGGCATAACAAAAGAGGAATTTCTTGAGAAGATGTAACTGGAACAAGCATCTAGACACTGTGTATGTCACAGAGTAGGGGGCATATTCAGATGGATTTAAAGGCAAGTTGGGTAGAGAAGTCAGAACTCCCTAAGTACACCGCCTGCCTTCCACACCACACCAATATATCCAGCCTGCCCTCTATGCCTCTATATTAACAATAACATCAAAAAGAGTAGACATGCAGGCACTCACCATGTTTAAGTACAAATAATCAAAACCTACCATGCAGTTCTGGGACAGCTGATGTAATATAATTACTCCAGAGTGCCTTGGCCCTTGCATCCATCTGAGAAGACCAAGCATTTTTAAATGGGAATATATTTACCCTGAAGATGAAGACAGAATGGGATATTGTTAGCATACTGATGGAGAAGGATGGGGGAAGGGAAATAAGCTACCCATAATACCTCTTATTCTTTTCACCCTGTCTTTCAGGCACATGTCACAGCACACTGGATTCTTCTCTAGGACTTGCTCCTTCTGGAATGCAGAGAATAAACCCTTCCATTTTAGACTAGAGGTAGCATGGGGGAAAGAAAACATAAGAAATTGAGGAATCCAGAACGAGAAAGCAATAAAACCCAGGGCATGGAATGGCAGTGCCTTACCTGTGCAGACTCCATCAGTGGAAGGTATACAATGACGCTTTTCCTCTTTCCAGCTCATCACATCACCATGGACACACACAGTGATACCTGGGAATGCATACACATGGTGGAAATGAGAGCTTGTTCATTTGCCATACCTTGCCAAGTGCTCTCCCTTGTGTGTACTCATGAACTACTTTCAAGCCAGAGTCATCACACTGACAGCGTGAAAGAGACACGGGAAATTTGCCTTACTAGACACACACAACACAAGTGTCTGCTTTCTGTCTCTTCAGGCCTCAAAATGATTCTTTGAGGTGGGCACCATTAATTCCTTTCTATACAAGGCCTCAGACAGTGCAATGTTTAGACTCAGGAAATGCTCCAGAGGCATCTTTAATGGACTCCTCTGGCCAATACTGGAACAAATTGAACATCAAAACACAGAATGCCAATATGAGAGAGTAATCATAATAGGTATTCTGAGACATACTGAGATAAATCCATGAACAAATAACTATGGAGAATAAGTAAGCAATATATTAAACATCAGATCATCATGAAGAGGCAGTAGTAGAATTATAACACATAAAACCTATCACAGTAATAATAGATTTAACTGACTTTTACGAATATATTATTAGTCTCTGCAATATCCCACAGGAATAATATAGGCACTGAGGTAATGATATTAGCTGAGGAATACAAGGGAAAATGCATACCACACTTGATACTCATATGCTCTTAATCTATGAATGGCATGAGCACATCATTTAAGGTTCAGTGATGAATATGCCTGGCATCTTCAGAGACAGATTTAAGAAATACACACACACACACACACACACACACACACACACACACACACACACACACACAAATATCAACACAAAAACACAGCTCTTGCCTCAAAGGAAGAAGATAGAGTTTATTCTGGAATCAAATACGAGTAAGAAAATATAAGTGGGACAGATTGAGGTTAGAACAAATTTCCTGTAACAATGTGAAACAGTTTCGTAAAGTTTTTCTAGTAAGAGAATGAAGAAAACTATGAATCAAGGCACTCCTTAAGTGCATGGGTGGATATATTAAGTAGGCTATTATGGTAAAGCAGAGAAACCTCAGCTACAGGCATTAGCTGCCTTGTGATGACACTCAGTCCCTTCACTGGCAGAAAATTAAGGCTTTGTAAAAGTGATATTTTCTGATGTTTTTAAATGTCGAGTCCAACTTCTTCTGTTAGTGACAAGATGCTAGGTCAGTCCAACACAGAGGGCAAGGAAGGGCTCCTCATGGGCTAAAGAGAGCACAAAATTAAATGTAATTAGGCTCTGGGCCTACAACATCCCATGGTCTCTACATCACTGAAGTTCTATCAGTCAATCACCAGTCTTTGCAGACCAGATTCTGTCTGGGAATTCCTGTTCACACATTCACAACATCTCACTCTCACAATCCTAGCTCCCTGGTATTCATTAAGGTGTTTACTGAGAGGTCAAGAGGTAAAACCCCATCTTCAACAGATTCATCTCTAACCACACACGGGATGCTGAAAGCTACTAAATTATGCTCTTTCGGTGTGATTCCTGTGAGGATGGCCGATTCACACATCTCTGGGACATTTCTCTCATTTCTTCCAATAGACTGCCAACAACCGCTTAATGCTGATAAGGAAATGGGGACAAACTGCAATAATCATCATATAAAGGTTCTATCACAGCGTAATCAATGCTTTCAACCAAAGGGATCCTTCATAAGCATCATTGACATTTTGTTCCTAATGCATCACAGAGAATTTCATAATTACTTCAAAGAAAATACAAGAATTAGGAATTGTATTCTAAAAATAGTACCAGGAGTAGTGAAATCAAAATGTGCAGAAATTTTGTGAACAATCTGGGCACATAGATCTATAGTGCCTATAGACTGAAACATCTTAAAACACTGCTGAATTGGACACAATCTACATAAAGGAAGGACATATCATATTCATTGGTCAGACATTTCATGATCAGTAAGATGTCTATTGATTCAAAGATGTCTACAGATTCAATGCAATAACAATAAAAATACACTAAGTTTTTGAAAACTTGGATAACTAATAATAATCTTTATAGATAAATATATAGTTTGGGGAAAAACCTTAGACACAGAACAAAGTTAGAGAACAGCATTGAATGATAGGATATCTCCATATGAACCAGCATGCTATTGGAATCAACATTGGCAAGTAAAAGACCAAAATCTATAGTCCATGCTTGCACCCACACATTTCCAGACCATTGTCTACTGAGTGCCAACATTTCCCTATGTATCCCATGCTGACATCAAGCCTGTGCAGAGTCTGGGCTGAAAAGAACTAACAATATTGCTGCTGCGGCCTCTCAGGCACTGGGAATATTGGCATATGGACCATGCCTGGAATGATGGAGAACTGATGTTTGACAAACAAGCAAAGGCAATTTGGTGCAGAAAGGATGGTCTTTCAGCAAACAATGCAGAGGCAAGTGTATATCCATATCCACAAATATAAATATAAATCATGTCATGTGCAAACACCACTCAAAATAAATTAGAGAAGTAAATACATAAAAAATAAACCTATAAATAG